TTATGGGCTATGCGTGCACATGCCCCCCTGTATCCTTGAAGGGGCGGACCCAATGAAAGCCCAATGCAAGCATCTGCATGCATTGGGCTTTGGGCCGCCCCAATTTTTCAGTAGCCCGTTACTAAATTTAACTTAAAAAAAAGTTGGCCAAATAATTAGCCCAAATTGTAAGATAGAACCATGCCCAATCCATTCCAATACCAAGAATCCCAATTGATTGAACACCACACACGTCCCCAACTCCCCCACAGAGAATTGAAAAAAATTGAATTGAAACCCCCAATTTACACCAAAACAAAAAGGTCTCAAATTCATGAAATCAATGAAATTGAAGAAGTGAAGCCATGGGTATCAAAGGTAATTATTGGATAATTTTTTGTAATCTTCTTCTTTTACCCCATGTTTGATTGTATCCCTCTAATTTATCTTCAACTATATGTCTATTAATAAATTGGTTACTGTTTCACAGTTTCAACATCACCTGAGCTTCATAGTTACTTGGTTGTTGATGCTAATGGTGGATTGGTGGTCTGAAGTCTGAACCAGGCCCAATAGTGTTCATCGGTACTCGGTAGGTGATTTTTCTATTGGTATTCACTTGCTATTGCGGGAGAAATAACAAAAAGTTTTGTTGGTATTCATATGTTATCGATTTTTCTGTTGCTATTGCTGTGCCTTCAACTTAGTTTTGTAGCTCTAAAGTTTACACTACCATTATTTTTGAATGAAGCATGTTTGTACTATTCCAAATGATTTTTCACTTTCTCGCTCCTTCAATGTCCAAAGTCCTAACTTATTGACATATATATAAATTCCTTTAATTGAATAAGAGTCTATACTAGAAAACCAAGAATTTTTTTGTTTAATCTTTCGTTTATTGCTTATTGAACACGTTTTTATTTTTCTTAATGGATATAAGCAAGAAAGTTTGTTTCCTGGCTTCCAGTAGACACACATAACTTCATCTGCTTGTTATGTAACAATGCATTAATCACTTTTTTGAGAATGAGATATTTGATGGTTGCAAATGTGGTAAATAAAGTTGGAGTATCGTCTAAACGTTGTGATCTTCTTCGAAAAAATAATCAGATTTTATCGTTGAGGCATTGGAGAATGGTGATATTTTAAGTGGACTAGGCCTTAATCATGAAACTACTCTTCATCCTTCAGGTAATACTCGTTGGGGATTTCATTATAATTCATTGGTTAACTTGATTAGCATGTTTACGGTTGTTATTGATGTACTCGAAATGATTGTTGAAGATTGATCAAGTATTTGTGATCGAGAAAGAGATGCATTCAATTTATTGGAGTCAATACAATCGTTCGATTTTGCATTTAATCTACATTTAATGAGAAGTATCTTGAGGATTTCAAATGATTTGTCAAAGACATTACAAAGAAAAGATCAAGACATTGTCGATGCAATGAACATGGTAAAAGTTTGCAAAAAAGAAAAAGACTCCAACTTATGATAGATGATGGATGAGATTCTTTCTTGAAATATGTTTCTTTTTTTTTTTTTTTTTTTCAGCATCATTATATTGATATTCCAAACATGAATGCTATATTTATGCGTTCTGCACATGGTGGTCGCTCTCATCGTAATCCTCCACAAATGACCAACTT